GTCTGAGGCTCTGGGTTCGATCCTCAGAACCACATAAAAATTAAATGAAGGTATTGTGTCCACCTACAACTAAAGAATAAATGTTTTTAAAAATAGCCATAGATGATTAATGTAAATGAATGAATTAGGCTATGTTCTGGTAAAACTTGATTTACGAAGATGGGCTGGATATATTGGCCTATATTGTAAATATTGGCTTGTGGGCCAATTTGCTAATGCCTGGTTTAGGATGCAACAAGAGAGAGTCTTTCTGCCCTGTGATATAGCATACTGATTAAGAGCATGGGTCTGAAGCCAGAATATTAGGTTCAAATCCAGCTTTACCACTTACCAAAACTTAAATCTATCTTTCTGCCTGCCTTCCTTCCATTAAACTCAGGGATGTTTAATTAACTGAGCCCCATCCCAAGCCCGTCTTTTAAAATTATTTCATTTTGAGACAAGGTCTTGATAAGTTGCTGTGAGCCTCACTAAGTTACTGAGACTGGCTCTGAAATTTTGATTCTCCTACCTCAGCCTCCTGAGTCCCTGGGATTTCAGGCATGCGTCACAATGCCTGGCATGAAACTTAATTTTCCTCTGGCTTAGTTTCCTTATTTGTAAAATGAGGATAAAAGTACTACACAGTGCAAAACTATTGTGAGGAATTAAACAAGTTTATGTATATAATGTACTTAGAATGGTGCCTGGCACGTAGTAAACAGCATTAGTGGTGATGAAGGTGATATTGATATTTTCTGCCTTTTTTTCAGACATGTTTGAAGGAGTCAGATGGCAGTGATACAGAAGATTTTGGCTCTGATCACAGTGAAGACTGCCTTTCAGAAGCAAGTTGGGAACCTGTGGATAAGAAGGAGACTGAGGTATGTCTAGGCAAATATGTGGTGGGTGCTTAATGTGAGCTAATGAGTTATATTTCTCAGAGATAAAGTCACATGCTGTAGACTGACCTTTCCCCCAGATGCATGTCATTTTCACCTGGGCTGCTCTCCATGTTGTAATGTTGCTCTTCCATTCTATTGACAAGGACCTAGGATTTTTCCTTGTGCCTTTTGTTAGGTGACTCGCTGGGTTCCAGACCATATGGCATCGCATTGCTATAACTGTGACTGTGAATTCTGGTTGGCCAAACGAAGACACCATTGCAGGTAAGATGTTCTGTGGACTCATAAAATAGTGCAGTACCTAGGGGCTGAGGCTCAGTGGTAAAGTGCTTGCCTCGCATGTGTGAGGTACTGGGTTCAATCCTCGGCACCACATTAATTAAATAATGATACTGTGTGGTCATCTACAACTAAATAAATATTTAAAAAAAAAAAGTGCAGCACATAGTTATTGAACTAATTTGAATTACTCTGAAAATGGAGATATAAAGCCTTATAGGAATCATGTTTGCACCGACCTTTCTCTTTGTTCATTCATGGAAGGCCTTTTAGATTGTAATTCTTTCTCAGCATACTGACATTTCTGATTAACTCTTCCTTCTTTGTGTTTTGGCAGAAATTGTGGGAATGTATTTTGTGCTGGATGCTGCCACCTGAAGCTGCCCATTCCTGATCAACAGCTCTATGACCCAGTTCTCGTCTGTAACTCATGTTACGAACACATTCAAGTATCTCGTGCCAGGGAGCTCATGAGCCAACATCTGAAGAAACCCATCGCTACAGCTTCCAGTTGAATGCACAGGAGATGACCTGTCCAGTTTTAACAGGTTTGAAGGGAAGATCTGCTTCAGGTGTAGTTTGAAAGGTTCCTTGGTATGGCTCATGAAATCACAGAGCTCAAAGATATCATCTTGAGAAATCCTACTTGGTACTTTGAGACTGGAGCAGAGGAATTTCAATTTGGCGGAGGTCCTTTTCTGGAGAGACCCTCAACTTAGGGTAATGGTCCTTCCAGACCCAGAGTCTGGAAGCTTAATGTTGAGTTGGTGACTCCAGCTTCTTTCTCCTGGGGGGGGGGGGGGTCACAAGATGATGATTTCATAGATACTGCCTGGTGCAAGGTGTCCAAACAGCAATAGAAAGGCATATGTATAACCAAACTGCAAGTGATAACCAGACCCATTTCTCCTCCACCTTGAAAAAAGCAGATTATAGTATACAAGATAGGAATTCCTATCCTATTCGAGATGAACTCTTTTCTGTACCTCTGTGCTCTGTGTCTGTGCATGAAGGCTCAGTCTTTAGAGGCACTCCCTCTAGTTGCAATTAGTACTGTCTTTCTGTGGAGTTTGGTTTATAGACTGGTTGGCCAAGTGGAGGTTTCAATGTATTTTTCACTTGGCTCATCAGCCAGCATCAGTGAATATTCAGTATAGGGGGACAGTTCTAGGGAGTGAGACATTTTTGGGAGCAGAAGAAAACTCTGCTGATGTTTAGTCTTGGAAAAAATCAGAGCTGTGAAGGCGGTGGTCACTCTGTTATGCCAAGGCAGCTCTGGAGGCATGCACTGTGAATGAGAAGGGAGAAGCAAAAATTATCTTGTGAAATATCTGCTGATTGTGCCCTACCCTTCGCGCCTGACTTTTCCTAGTTGTCCTGGTGCTAATACAGGAGCTCCACCTTGATCCTCTCCTGGCATGAAAATAAAACAAAGGTTTTTGTTGTTATTCCATTGCCCATTTCCCCCATGTTGTCTTTCCCTTGGCTGCTGCCTCCTCTGAGTCACACTGCTTCTTATCCTGAACACTTGACACCTTGAGGGTAAAATTTAGCATTTGGTTTTTACCTCCTAGAATATGCTGTTTGGTATGTGAGGGTTTCAGTACAAATGCTGCTGTCTATTTTTGTGCACTTAACAATGGAACCCAAACAAGAGAATGAAGCCTTGATACCAAAATTGGGAGAGAAAATGTGTCCATGTGGACCAAAAAAATTTTTTTTTTTTAATTTTGGTTTTGATTTTGTTTTTTCATCTTAATATGTACCAGTGGCACTTAACCAAAAGATAGTCATATAGCCATGTACTGTGGTTGGGACAGATACAGTCTCCTTGTTCTATAATGAAACCATTAGAATTTCCTTTATACATTTTCCTTAAGTCATTGGTGTATAAAAGGCAAATGACATTTAGGCTTATTCTGTTTTAAAACTGTGGTATTTGTCTTTCTCACTGCTACTTTCATGTTGCTTTCTAGAAAAAAAAAATTCATTCCAAAATAACTAGAATCTGCATTTAGAATAAGAATTGTTATTTGTCCTGCCCTTTTCTTCAGTCTACAGAGAAGCATCTGTGCTGCTTTTGTACTTGCCATGGATGTAACCTAAAAAATTTTGGCGTATTTAGGTCAGCCTAGCAGAACATTTTTTTTTTTTTTTTTCATTTAAATGGAGCTGAATAATGGAGATTTTGTGTCTGGGAAATTCCTGAGATCATTGAAAAAGTAACAAACTCTTCCTTGTCTCTGATACATAAAATTCTTTTAACCATTTTCTCAATCATTAAAAATTACTGCCAGTCATGAGTGGCTTTTTAATTAACTTTACTTTGATTGCACTTCACTCTGCCTGTTTTCAGGGGGAGTAATATTGGTAACATTTGGGGAGACTGTATCTGTCTATTTTGTGTGGCTGTTTTGAGGGATTGTCCCATCAGTGAATAAACTGCATGGCCTTGGAGAGAGACTCTGGGCTTTTGGCTCAGATCCGTTCATCAAATACTCCTTTCAGAGCTGTTGTGGGTGTAAGTGACATGATGTGGCCAAAAATCCAAACTGTGCAGTTGCGTTGTGACAAACATGCAATGTGCTGTAAAAACTCAATACAGTTTAAATAAAATCTCTATATTAGTGCTGCTTTGTTGGGTCTTTTTATTCCTTTTGGTTTTTAGGTAAACATATTCATTGTTCTTTTGACCATGAAAAAAGGACTAAAACATTACCTCTTTCCTCTAACAATTTCCATTTTTAAAATGGACTCTTTTTTAAAAAATCAGCACAACTTTTGTTGTATTTGAGTTTATTGATTGGTTAGGGATGTATTTACTCATTTTCAGTTTTATGGTGCTTGGGATGGAACCTATAGTCTCCTGCATGCTAGGCAAGAAACTCATTGGCACTACATCCTCAACCCTGAATAGATTTATTCTTAAGGATTCTATAGAATTCTGTCCCATCTAAATGAGGTTTCTCTTCAATGTTTGAAATGTCACCAGCTGGTTGAAAGCACACAGAATTGTATTCTAGTGATACCCTTCTGCCAAGCACCTCTGTTTTCATCAAACCTTGAGTAAACTGAGCAAAATGCTGGCTTAGAAGCATGTATTTTTAAGATATAAAATGCTACTGTCTAGGGGCTGGGGTAGTGGCTCAGAGGTACAGTGCTCTCCCCTAGCATGCGTGGGGCACTGGGTTCGATCCTCAGCACCACATAAAAATATTGTGTCCGCCTAAAACGAAAATAAATTTTTTAAAAATGCTACTATCTAAAAGATGAATTTATTTACTTGGGATATTGCACCTCCACCCCCACCATTATTATTTGGCAGGAGCGGCAGTTCAGCTGTTGGTTCAAGTTAGAGTTAGGTCCTTTGTTCTCAGGAACGTGGCTCTGCGTTGCTTAACGCAGACTGTCTGCATTCTGAATCCCCACACGCTGGCTGTGCTCAAGTACCCGACCCTTGGTGTTCCACTGTGGATAACTGGGCTTCTTTCTTTGCAGGACTTAGAACTCGCTGGTGGGCGACGCTCCTCCACCCGGAGCGCCCGGAGCGGGCGGTTTGGGGACGCCAAGGAATGTGGCCTTCTCCCAGCCGTGTCCCAGGCCGCCGCTGGCGTCGGGTGGCGCTGGCCTCGCGCCGTTTAGTGGGAGGGCCGCCTCGCGCTGCGTTGGCCGCGTTGGCCGCGCGGCGGGAACTCGAGGCCCCATTGGCCGCGCTGGAGGGCGCGGCAGGGACTCGTGCGCCAACGGTCCCGGGGTCCGCGGCGTCCGGGCGCTGGCAGGAGGGGGCAGGGCGAAGCGAAGGCCGAGGGGATAGAGAACAGGGTGGGAGAGCCAGGCTCGGCGGGGCGAGGCCCAGGGCCCGGGCGGGGGTGATGGAGGAGGCGCTGCTCTCCACCCCCATCAACCCCAACAACTTCCCCGCCAAGCTGTGGCGGTTGGTGAACAGCCCCCGGTACCGCTCGATCCGCTGGGATGGCCGCGGCGAGGGGCTGCTCATCGACCAGCCGCTCTTCGAGGCTGAGCTGCTCAGCCCGCCTGGGCCCGGAGCTGGGGGCGGCAGTGGCGCTGGGGGCAGCGGCGTGGGGGCCACCGGGGCCGAGCCCGAGCTCTTCAAAACCACCAACTTCACCAGCTTCATCCGCCAGCTCAACCTCTACGGCTTCCGAAAGGTGGTGCTGGGTGGACCGGGCGCGGCGGGGCCAGGGCCTGGGCCTGGGCCAGGGGCCGGCGGACCGGCGGGCGACGGGCCACTCCACCACTTCCACAGCCCGCATTTCCGCCGTGATCAGCCGCAATTGCTCGTGCACCTCAAGAGGCTCACCAGTGCCAACAAGGCCAAGCTGGCGGCCGGCCTGGAGGTGCCCTGCCGTCCACCCAACCGCTTCCAGAGGCTTCTCATCACGTCAGCCTCCGCCTCGGCCTCGGCCTCCACCTCCCCACTGCAGCACCAGGATCCGCCGCCGCCGCCCGCGGGGCCCCAGCCAGAGCCGCATGGTGAGTCTGGACGCTTGGATACTCGTCCTCCGTGGGCACACGGGCAGTAGGGTGCTACGGCCAGAGAATATTTCTGCACATCCTCACCGCAGTGGTGTGGCGAGGGTGCTGGGGACCCGCTTCAGTAGCATTATTCTCACCCCAGTGCTCTAGATTGAATGCAGGAGCATTTAGCTTCTCTGTGTCTACTAGCAGCAAGAGGGACTTCTGCTTTAGGCTCCCCCCCACTTCCGCAAGAGTTTGAACCTCAAGAATTTACCAGCTTCCCAAAGCCCATAGTCATTTACCTTCCCAGGACCCAGTTTCTCTACTGTGACCATCTAGAATAAGTAGTCCTGTGTGAAGCACAGGGTCTGAAAGAAATCGAGAAGGGCCTGTATTGCTCCAGCAGGAAGCAGAGCACAGTCACTCTGCAGGTTAAGGCGTCAAGGAACAAAGTCACAGCTAAGAAAACTTAGAACATTGTACAAACCAATGGAACGTGGAAAGTTGGAAAAAGGTACCTTGAATGGAAGTTTGTCCTTGAAGGGATATACTACCTTTCACTACCTGACACAACTAAGAAATCTTGGAAGAAGTGGTATAACAGTAATAAGATTTAAGTTTCCAAATAATGTGTAGCATGGTAGACATTGTTTGTATCTCTTAGGGGCAAAAAATATAGATTTACAAGATATTGTTCCTATGTAGAATGAATTAGCTAAATATTTCTTTTGTTTCAGTTAATGAGAGCTTGATGCCCATGACTTAGGTGTTATGGTTAGACAAACAAGGCAAAAATGGTTTACTTGTTTTAGTTAAAAAGAATTGTAGAAAGCACACATTTATGGCCTTTGGATTTTTCACTACTAGCTATACTCTTTCAGCATTGAAAAGTCTTTATGTAAGTCAGCATTTAGAATAAATTCAGAAACCCTAGCAATAGAGAATTATTTTATGGACCTGATATTCTTACCCCTCTGCAAGGAAGGTGAAGTTGGCAATATTCCCTTTCTCCTAGTAAAGAGTCTAAGATAGGAAACAGTACACTAAGAAAGCAACAGAATATGACGAGAATTTATTACTCTGCTTCAGCTAGGAGAATAACAAACATTTTCAGCATGCTATCATGGATTTAACATAGAGAAGTCTGAGTTATTTTTGAGTTTCGGAAAAAATTAAAGTGTGCAAATAACACTGTGTTCAATTTTACTTAGGCCCAGTACCAAGACAGTACTTTCTTCATTTGGAATTTAGAAGATAAGGGACCAGGTTTTGTGTTTGTGGAGTTTAGAAGATAAGGGAATAAGAGTTCTGTTGTCAACTTGGGGAAATAGCAGTGGCAGAGGAATGTTCTAAAGGAATTCTAAAGGAATATCAAGCCACTTCCAGGTGATGGCCATTGATTTCAGTGGTGAATTATATGGGGAAAGACAGTGGAGACAATACCGTGGTGGACATTTGGCAGAATGTCTTGACATGGTCCTTTTTTGTTTTGTTATTCTCCAGGTTGTGTCTCTAGTGGGCATAAGGAGAAAAGACTAGAAAATATATTCTTGGGAGAAATGGGATAACAACTTCAAACGAAGAAACATGTAAAAGCCAACTTTTGCTTGCCCTTGTATCTTCTTTGATCCTGCTCACTTACTTTTTTTTTTTTTTTTGAGGGGTACTGCGGATTGAACCCAGGAGTACTTTACCACTGAACTACATCCCCAGCTCTTTTTACTTTTATTTTGACATAAGATCTCAATGAATTGCCCAGGCTGGCCTTGAACTTGAGATTCTTCTGCCTCAGCCTTCTAAGTAACTAGAATTACTATACCCAGTTTCTCTAATCTGCCTTAAACCAATTTGTATTCTAAGGATAGAGTTCATTTTAATTAAAGAAATACAAAGAAAGATTATCTAGAATTTGATTTTTTTCACTTATAATTCAGTTATTGGCATTTTAAAGATTACTGTTTGTTGAAAAAATTAATTCATGTCTTCTCAGTATAGGTAATATATTAATACCTAGGTAATTGTTATTTTCATGCTTTTTTTTTTTTTTTTTTGCCATTCTACCTGTTGGCATGTGCAGAAAGATGTTAGTTGTGGATTGTGTACTTCACAGCCTTGCTTTACTAGGGAATTGTGTTTCTGATTTAGGTGGAATGGAATTCGGTTATAGATTCAAGAATACCAGCACAACTTTGTTTTGTTCTCTTTATATTTTCTAAGTCCTTGGCTTTTCTATTTTTTCCACACCTAATTTTTATTCTACTTGAGTCTTGCATTGATTATATGCCTGAGTACACTGCTGCTTCCTAGTTTCCATTTTGTTTTCTGTCTTCTACTTCAGTTTATGGTTTGAATATTCTTTTTTACAGTAGAATCATCTATTCTAGGACCTAGTTCTCTTATTTAGATCCACTGAGCCAACTGTCTTGTTCACCTTTCAAGTATGTACTTGATAAGAAATGTGAAGATCCCATGTTTTCCCCTTTTTTATTCATCTGCTATTGTTATTTTGTTTTTGGTGGCAATTTATTTTCCAATATTTGTTAAAATGTTTTAAACTAAGTAGCAAGTCTGGGAAATAGATAATCTCTCTTTGCCTGGGTTCAACAGGCAAGTTTTGGGATTCTTCCCTGGCAATTGATTAGTTTCACTTCTAAAAAAGGAGTAGAATCTTTAAAAACAAAACCATTCTGCCCTACATTTCTAGAATTCTGGACTCAAACTTTGCCAAATATATCTTATAGATAATGACATAGACGATGCTTTATAAAGTTTGTCAAAATAGAGCCCTATGAGGTAACACTTATTAGAAGAATAACTAAGAGGTGAATATATTTCAGGGCTTCATTTAAAAAAAAAACAAACAAAAAACAATGCCCTTCTAATCTTGACAGTGTTGTTATGTTATCAGCATTTAAAATAGATAATTAGCTGGGGTTGTGGCTCAGTGGTAGAGCACTTTCCTAGCATGTGTGAGGCCCTGGGTTCGATTCACAGCACTGCATATAAATAAATGAATAAAATAAAGGTCCATCAACACCAAAAAAAAAAAAATCTGTTAAAAAAATAAAAGAAAATAGATAATTAACCATCACTCAAGTTTATCATGATGGAAGTAGAATTTATATTTTAATTCAGATATAAACTACAATTTGAGAAATCAAGGTAGAGAATTCTTTATTTTGCTGCTTAAGTTATTGACATTCTGAAAATTAATTCATAGGTTATCCCTGAAGAGGGTAGAAGAACTAGCGAGCTACTGACTGTAGGCAACATGTAGTTTTGTCATTTGAAGATACATCCAAGGAGAAATCAAGTGGGGGTAGTTTGAGACATCTAGAAATATCCATTGTGAAGAGTAACAATTTTTTTAGGAAAACAAAGGATTGTCAGTTGCAAGTTCAAAGTATGCATGCATATGGAATTACTAGTCAAATAGCATCATAAAAACTAGTTTTGGTACTTTAAAGGAATAGTTGTTTTAAAGAGACGTATAATTAGAATATAATCAGTCTTCTGAATTAGGATTTTTATTTCTCTCATTAGATTGATTTCCAGGCCTCCAGAATTGAAAGGTTTCTAATCTAATTATTTTGAAAAGTAGAGTTTTGGGAGAGGGAGGGCACTGAGGATTGAACCCAGGGCCTTGCACATGCTACGCAAGCACTCTGCCACTGAGCTACATCCTCAGCCTTTTAAAATTTTTATTTTGAGACAGAGTCTCACCCAGGCTGGTCTTGAATTTGCAATCTTTCAGCCTCAGTCTCTCCAGTAGCTAGGATTACAGATGTGCACCACTATGCCTGGCTAGAATATTTGAGTATCATCTTTCAACATGTAGTTTAGGACTTGAGTAGCACGTAAGATAGATTTTCCCTCTATTTTACAGATTTATGAAATAAATTGAAACTAATTTGTAAACCACATAATTTTAACAGAGAACTTTTTTACATTTATTTGTTTATTTTGTATTGGGGATTGAACCCAGGGGCACTTAACCACTGAGCCACATCCTCATCTCTTTTGTATATTTTGTTTAGGGACAGGGTCTTGCCAAGTTGCTTAGGACCTCATTAAGTTGCTGAGGCTAGCCTTGAACTTGCTATTCTCCTGCCTCAGCCTTCCGAGTTGCTGGGATTACAGGCATGTGCCATCACACCAGGGACAAAACTCTTTAGGAGTAAATTAGGCTATCTTTGTTTATATTCAAGAATCATGATCTGTAAAATAAAGTTTAGCCTATAACACTTATATTCTTTCTTATTACATACTATTACCCCCTCTCTCTCTCCCTCATGTTTTCACTTTCTACCTTACTAGATAAAGGAAAGAATTATGTGCATGACAATCTTTTTTTTTTTTTTTTTTTTTTTTTTTTTAAAGAGAGAGAGAGATAGAGGTAGAGAGAGAGAGAATTTTTTAATATTTATTTTTTAGTATTTGGCGGACACAGCATCTTTGTTTGTATGTGGTGCTGAGGATCGAACCCGGGCCGCACGCATGCCAGGCGAGCGCGCTACCGCTTGAGCCACATCCCAGCCCCCATGACAATCTTTTGAAGCTGGTATGTTTTAACAACTCTCCAGATGATTCAGATGTATATCAGTGTTTGAAGGCCACTGAGATCTGGGCCGGGTCACTACTAGAGAAACCTAAAGGAAAAAAAAACAGGGAAAATGATGGGTTGATTTAGAGACAGGGTCTCACTGAGTTGCTTAGCGCCCCCACTGTTGCTGAGGCTGGCTTTGAACTCCTGCCTCAGCCTCCTGAGCTGCTGGGATTACAGGCATGGGCCACTGTACTGGCTCATTACATTATTTTTGGCTCATGTCATTATTTATTCTACACATTTTTTATGTATATGATAGAGTGCTTATTTTTCTGATCATTAATAAGCTTCCCCCAAAAGGTTTGAAAGAATGAATGGAAAACTTCTAGGGAGTAGTTTACACTTTGGAAAAATCTGGGTCAGTCAACTGAGGTAAAAAGTAATATGATATGGCTGGGGGCTGGCGTTGTAGCTCAGTGGTAGAGCACTTGCCTCACACGTGTGAGTTATTGGGTTCGATCCTTAGCACCACATTAAGAAAAAAAAAATAAAGGTATTATGTCCATCTCCAACTAAAAATATTTTTTTAAAAAGATAATATGACCAAAATCATCTATAAAAGGGTTTAATATGAATGTTTAACTTTTGATTTAATGATGTTGGAGTTTACCTCTTATGATAGTAATTTGAGAACAAAACAAAAGGTTATTTGTTTATTCTTTCAGCATTATATGTATAAACCCATATTCTGGATTCTGAACTTGCTATTGCCAAAACTAAATTTCTGATGTGTTAAACAGCTGATAGGTGAACAAGAGTATTTTTTTTAATTGTTGAATCTTTTTAAAAATGTTTTTTGTATTTTTTATACCTTTAATTAATTAATTAATTTATTTATTTATTTTATGTGGTGCTGAGGAGTGAACCCACTGCCTTACACATGCTAGGCAAGTACTCTACCACTGAGCTACAATCGCAGCCTCTGAAGTATTTTTTTGACCTTTGGTTTACTATGTCTGGTGGTTTAATGTAAAATTAGTAAATGTGCTCTTCCTCTTTTATGCAGGACCAGTGGCTGTAGGACAATTTCACCGGTCATTCCGGCGAGATAGTTTGTCTCCTTATTCCTACGTATCAGCTTCATCCCACAACCACAGTACTTTCCCTCTGAAAGGTTTAGATCGGACCCCGATTCCTCCAAGAACATGGCAGAACTCCCTTGGAATGCACCCTGGACAAGTGGACACATCTCCTACTTTTTCAGATAAAGGGGTTCCATTTCCTGTACTGCAGAGGTTTCCAACCGAGGTTACCTATACACTGCAGCCCAGTGCCACATCTGTACATGTTCAACAAGGCCCTCAAACAATGGTCAGCTCCTCCCAAAAATATAGTAACTACACACCCTCAGCGCAGTACTCCCAAGCCTACTATCCAACAGGTATGAGAAGTTCAAGTTCACTGTCTTCTATTAAGGTAGTTTATAATCATATTTATATTTTAGTTCATTTTAGTCTCTGTGTGCTTCAACATAGGTGGTATGAATATTAAAAAATGTCAAAGATTTATTAGAAAATATTTTAAAACAATACATAAAATTTTATGTGTACTTAAGGATTGTGAAAATTTTGTTGATGCCTAAAAAAGGGTATGTTTTCAGTGAAACCTTTTGTATTCTCAAAATGTGTTCTATTTTTATAATTAAGACTTAGTATTCTGGAACCTTACTTTAATTTTGCCCTTGGTACAATGTTTTATTTTTTAAAATATATTTTGTATGTGATATATTTTGTCCTTAATATCATAGATGAAGTTTCATAGTGAAATTATTTTAGTATCTCAGTACGAAATTTAATAAAAAAGCATGCTCTCTGAAAATTAAGTTCTTTAGTAAAACATGGTGAATAATGAAGTTCCTTCAATGTTCATCACAGCCAAATAAAAATTGGGGAATAACAGCAGGAGAAACTGACAATGGCAGCTGACCTGGCATTCAACCAAGAATTGAGGATATGCTGGTAGATCCCAAGCCATTAACTGGGAATTCTTATAATCGTAACCTTGTGTCTTGCTTCTCAGAAAAGGAAAAAAAAAAATTTTTAATATATCTTTTTTGCAAGATAATGGTCTTACCATTTATTTCAAATTATTTTCTAGTTTGAAGAAACACTATAGCAGTGTTATGTGTTTCATTATGTAATATACTTTACACAGAATGATGAAATGGGGCTATAGAAGGGTCAGAGCCTTCAGAAAAGACCAGAAAGAAGGAACACGGCATTTCTTTGTCCTAAAAATTAAGAATCTGGAAGCATTAATTTTCTCAGTTTTATAGATCTATAATCAATCTCTAGAAGTATTTTGTTAGACCATTTCTTCCAGGAAGGACTTAACAAATATAAATAAGTGAAAGGAATGTAAATCAGGAAAGGGTAATTTGTTGCCATTAAAAGTTATAGATCTGGGGGCTGGGGATGTGGCTCAAGCGGTAGCGCGCTCGCCTGGCATGCGTGCGGCCCGGGTTCGATCCTCAGCACCACATACAAAGATGTTGTGTCCGCTGAGAACTAAAAAATAAATATTAAAAAATTCTCTCTCTCTCTCTCTCTCTCTTTAAAAAAAAAAAGTTATAGATCTGGTGCCTGTTCTATTTGTAATAGTACTTAATATTTTCTAGTTGTTAATATTCAACTATGTACTTTTATTATTGACTTAATGCATTCTACCTAAAAGTAGAAGTCAAAAGGATTGCTTTGTTTTCCCCAAACATTTAATGTTATAAATATTAAAATAACAAAACTAGAATTTAAATTAAGCTGGGTTCTATATTTTTAGAGCTGCTGTTCTTTTAGTGGAAGGAGTTGAGAAGGAAAAGGGGAAGTGAATTGTATGGAGTAAGGATGATATAGAACTTTTAATCATTTTGCATAATAAAAAATAGGAGAAAATGGTTGTCTTATGTAGAAATCCTTTAGGCCTGATTTTTTCCCAAATTTTCAGCTATTACTTTGGAGAAAAAGAATTTAGGGTTGGGGTTGTAGCTCATTGGTAGAACGCTTGTCTAGCATATATGAGGCACTGGGTTTGATTGTCAGCATCACATATAAATAACTAAATAAATAAAATAAAGTTCCATTGACAACTAAAAAATTTTTTTAAAAAATTTATGCAGTCTTTAAAAATAAAAGATGACTAATTTCATGTTCATAAGTTATGTATCTTAAATATAGCAGTAAGTGTGGGTTGGATTTTTATTACTAAAGAGTTTGATCTAATATTATAATAAATTAGGCATTGCTATCAAAGTTCTTATTTTGCCCACATTCCATGTATGCATAGAATATAGAGGCAGACTTTGTCTTTCTTGATTTACATTTCATTTCTCTTAATCCCCTCCTTTTAACTGAGACTAAAGAATTGCCATAAATGTTTCTCTTTTTTTTTTTTTTAACTACTAAAAACTTAGAAGCTTCTGTAGAGTTGGAATTTGGAAGGACTGCGGCAGAAAGGTGTAGAAATGTGCTCTGACCTTTCAATTTGGAATTTTGGAGATATTTCCCTTTGGAAATATTAGATAGGGTGGCTGGGTTCTGTATTGCTATAATCTTTAAGGTATAAATGGTTATAATCTGTGTTGTTTCTCTGGGAGGTTTCTCTTCTAAGTTCCAGGCAACCCTCATAGAAACTCTTAGTTCTAAATTTTATAAGTATTGCTTACAACACCAACAACCACATCAATTAATATTATTCATTCATTGTAGAAATACTATTTGTGAAATTATGATGATCTTGCATATATTATTTAAAAATATTTTAACTTTGTTGTAAACTTATAAATTGAAAGTCATTTCCAAGAGTTCAATGTAAGGACTAGAAAAGAGTCATTTTAAAAAAGAGCAAGTGACCTGGGGTGTAGCTCACTTGACTAGCATGGTTGAGGCCTGGGTTCCAGCTCCAGGACTGAAGGAGAAGCAAAAAACGGTTTTTGTAGTATACAAGCACTTATAAAATAGAATCTTGTGTTTTTTGAATTTTGATTTTATTGGTCTCCTTTAATATGGACTTAAAGTTTCTGAAGTTAGAAGAATAAGAAATTTCATGATAACTTATAATACATAGGATAGTTCTATGATAAAAGTAGGTAATACTACTTTGAACATTCAGAATATTATGTAAATAAATTGTTCAGTTAAATATAAAAGAACTGCTATAGAAAAGAAAGTACCATAAAAATACTGTACAAGTATTTAATTCTTCCAAATTATGGGTGAAGGAAGCAAAAACTAATGAGTAATCTCACCAATATTTGTTGAGGCCTATTTAGGAATATCATTACAGATTATTTCCCCAAAATTACATAGAATATTGGCTCGCAGAGAAAAGGTGGTGATCACTCAGATTCATCTAAATTATAACAAAAGGACTAATTTAGACCTTTCCAAATGAACTATTTGACTTGAGGTTTCAATCAAGGTTTTTTTTTTTTTTTATATCTTTTATTTATTTTATGTGGTGCCCCATATGTGCATGAGGCAAGCGCTCTACCGCTGAGCTATAACCCCAGCTCCTCAATCAAGTTTTAAAACAACACTCCATATACAAATTTGTTGTGTTCAAAGTAAGCTTAGATCTGGCCTTGATTCAAATAGTACATTTTGAATTTTATATTTCATAAATTATTAATTTCTCTAGTAAAGCCAAACTCTGAGACTAAAGAATTGCCTTTGGACTGACTCATGAAATGACTCATCAGAATCACCTTTTATTTCTTGTCCTTCCCTGAAAGTGTCAGTTTTCTTTGCTTAGCTTGTTTACATTTTTTTCTGTTTTTATTACTCCCTCAAATGACAAAGTATCCTTTTTCCAGTATTAGCTGACTCTTTTTAGTCTTGCTCTATCTAAAATTTAGTTTTTTTCTCTGATGTTATTTTCAATGTGCTAGTATAATTTAATTTCCCTCTTTTATTAAAAAAAATTCATTTTAGGCCTTTTTATTTTACTCATTCTCCACTATGTATTTGAGCATACATTCATATTCATACATTCATATTTACATATAGAGTCCTGTATCAAGGAATATTTCTTTAACATAATTCGGAATTAGCTCAAAATCAACTTTGCCTCCTTTTCACAGTTACATTTTGAGTTTTCACAATATTGATTAAGAAATTATAGCTGCCATTAATATCATAATTTATTTAACAAATACATGGCAATCACGATGACAAGGCACTCTTCCCTATACTTTTCAAATATTCATTCATTTAATCCTTATAGTTAGCTTATAAGATAAGTAGTATAATTATCCTCATTTTATTGATGGGGAGACTGAAGCATAACTAGTAAGTGACAGACTGGGAAAGAAACCCCTGCAATCTGGTTCAGTAGTGCTTTCTTTTGGCCACTATGCTCTGTTGCCTGCCTGCCTGCCTCTCATGGAGGGTCTTTTATCTTTTTTTCAGGGAATCTTCTAGTGTATCTCTTTCCCAGATTTAGTTATTCCCAGATAAGTTACATAGTTCAGAAACTGATGGTAGATCTACAGTTGTCTCCTTCTGATGGTAATGTTACTATTTTGGATTATTGATTTATTCTGTCCAAATAGAGGGAACATACTCCAGTTGCTAGAGTAGGAGGTTTATTTTGATAGCTCTGGGGAGAGGAGCTGCCTCTAACTCATTTCTGTATCCCCTACACCTAGCATAGTGCTTGACTATATTGGGCCCTTAGTAAATAATTTATTGAATGGAATGAACTAGCTCTAGTCCCAACTTTGCAGTTAATCTTCTGATGTGACTTTCAGTGGATTATTTTACCTCACTAAGCCTCAAATTCTTTTTCATAAAGTGGCCTTGATACTTTGGGTCAGAAACTAAATGAATTAATGAATATAAATAGATTTTTTGATTTGAAACATGATTTACATGTAAGATATAAAATGTTTTAAATCTTTGTAAAATGAGCCTACTAGATATTAATATTTATGGACTAGGGGCTGGGATTGTGGCTCAGAGATAGAGCGCTTGCCTAGCATGTGTGAGGCACTGGGCTCAATCCTCAGCACTACATAAAAATAAATAAATAAAATAAAGGTATTGTGCCCATCTAAAAAAACTTTTTTTTGAAAAATACTTTATGGGGCTGAGGCTGTGGCTCAGTGGTAGTACACTTGCCTGACATGTGTGAGACACTGGGTTCAATTCTCAGCACCACATATAAATAAATAAAATAAAGGTCTATCAACAACTAAAATAAATAAATAAATATATATATATGTATATATATATATATATATATATATATATATATATATATATGCCTAATTTATTAAAAAATATTTTATGGGCTAAAAATTTATAAGAATATATACTTTTCCCTAAGGTACACATGATATTTTTAATGAAAAATATATATCCTATCATTATTTCAAATGTTTCCAAATTGGCATTTGGGCAAAAAGTGTTGCTTATTAATGTTTTAAAGTCTATTTAAATATTTTTTGGGGGATGGAGGTACAACCCAGGGCCTTATTCATGCTAGGCAGAGGCACTCTACCACTGAGTATACAGCACAGTACATTTAAATTTTAAAGGTTTGAACTTGAGATTTGTAGTCCTACAATAATGTGCATGAACAAATATAGAATATGGAGTTATAATGGTTTTCTAGCACTGTTACTCTTGTGCACAGGTAGCCTATATTGTCAATTTCTCTGAAAAATCTTGATTTTGTGTTTGTATAAAAGAGGAACTTGTAACTAGGAAGCCTTTTTTCTTTTTCTTTCTTTTTTTTTTTTTGTTTTACCTGCCAAGAGAAACAAAGTGAAAGCAGATTTGCCTTTTTCATTGTAGTAAAATATCCATAACATAAAACTTAACATATTAACTGTTTTCTGTGGCATTAAATACATTTGCCATTAACAACCTGCATCTCCATAATTTTTCATCTCCCCCAACTGAAACTCTGTACCCCTAATTCTAAAACACTAATTCCCCATTCTTCCCTTCCCTACCCTTGGAAACCACCACTCTGCTTTCTGTCTCTATGAATACTGTAGATAGGAACCTCATAAAAGAGGAATGCTGTAATATTCATCCTTTTGTGTCTGGCATATTTCACTTAGTATAATGTCTTCAAGGTTCATCCACATTGTACTATGTGTCAAAATTTCCTTTTTAAAAGGCTGAATGATAATGCATTGTATATATGTACCACGTTTTATTTATCTGTTTTCCTGCTGAAGGACACTGAGTTGCTTCCACCCTCTGGCTATTGTAAATATTGCTACTAGGAACATGGATGTACAAATATTTTTTCCCTTCTTTCACTTTTTGCATTGTATTCACTTCTTTTGGGTATTCAGATGCATCTAGAATTGTAATGGGATTATGTCCTAGTAAACCTATCGCATGTTGAAAATATTATGTAAAATTACCATACCAAATTATCATAGCTTAGTAATATAATACATTGTAGGGTATTGATTGTTTACCCTCACAATCCAGCTGTGGCTCACTGCTACTGTCCAGCATCTCAAGAGAGAGAATGGTGCCTCATGTCACTAAGAAAGAGATAAAAATTTAAAAATCAATGTCTGTTTTCTGCTGAATACATATGCCTTTTGCACCATTGTAAAGTTGAAAATTCATAAATGAAACCATTGTAAATCAATGACTATATGCCCAGAAGACCTTTTCTTTACCTCTTCATAGATATTGGAATTCTAGTTGCTATAGTAACTTATCTTGAAATTAAATTTACTATTAAATTTTCTGTTTCTTTTGAGCATTTATATTATTGGACATTTTCTCACTATTAACACTGTGCTATCCTGGAGGAGATTCAAATCCAAAACAATTATATACTTGAAACTACTTCCATAGGATAAAGTGTACAAACTTGTTTGCCTCACCTATGATCAGAGTAATAATTATGAGTAATTCTGGCTTTTTTATTACTCAGATTTTTAAAAATGTTATCAATGCTTATATTTGAAATGAATTTCTGTTCATTTACACCTTTTCCTTTCATGCATGGTTTAATACCTTCATTGAACATTGCCTTCATGAAGACCCGAAAGATCTTTATGCAGATGAATGTCTTAGCACATAGTGATATTCAGTTTTATAATTGTTAGTGCTTTCATAATGCACAGATTAATTTTTCCTATATTAGGCACATATTGGATTTCCATACCTAGGTTTTCCTAATTAGTAAACTTATTAATATATCTTGCTTTGTTCTGTTTTATTGGTTGTACAAAGTGGAATTGCACTGGTAAGGAAATAGCCATTGAGGAATATTTTAGAATTGTAATCTATTCAAGTCCTCCTTTTCTTCATACAGGTACATTTTTACTTTTCATTTGTTTTTGGAAATTTTAACAGACATCACTGTTTTGCTGTTTTCTTTCATACAAATGAGCTATCAACTATATATTAACATATTCTCTATTGAGTGTTGTAGTTTATTTCTCCAAGAAATTTATTTTAAAGAACATTTCAACAACAACTATTCAAAGTGTGTAATTAGTAGATCCAGAGCATTAAAATATCAGACAAAACAAATATAGCCCTGTCATTGATTTATTTGTAATGAAACACTACTTTTCAGCACGGGGATGGGATGAATACCTGCAGCTCTTAACTAAATCTTTCCCTGACACTAGGGGGCACTAGGTTTTTTCCTTAGTTGTAAGAATTCCAGGGGGGAATAGTCTTTTTTTTTTTAAGTTTTGGCATACATTGTACCAAAATTTTAGTGGTTAGCTATTTGGATTCTCAGGATATTTTTGCTTTTAAGTACCTTTGGGAAATCATATTCAAACCCCAAACATTTTAATTGGGTAATAACTCCCAAGGATCAAGTGTAGGCATCTGTTTGCCTAACTTGCATTGGAAGTGACAATAGCTAGAGTTTTATCTAGTGATCTTAATAATATATGGCCTGTGTGTGTGTGTGTGTGTGTGGTACTGGGGATTGAACCCAGGGATGCTCTATCAGTGAGCTACATCCCTAGCCCTTTTTCCTTTTTTACTTTGAGACATGGTCTCACTAAGTTACCTAGATTGACATTGAACATGGGACCTTCTGCCTCAGCCTCCTGAGCCAGTGGGATTATAGGTGTGCATTGTAGCACCTGACCTTTTCTGGCTTTTTAAAATCACTAAAATTATTAAAAATCATAATTCAGAGAAGATCAACACATATTTATATCTGAATTTAGGATTCTGTCCACTATTTCAATTTTTTCTTTGTGTAAAATTTAGTGTCTTAAATTGCACATGATATGATGTAAAAATATTTATTTCTAGTATACCTTTATGAACATCTGATATTTTAAAAATCAATAGTCAATAATGGAGAAATAGGGAAGCACTTCAATTAATTTTTAAATTTGTTCTTTTTTAGATATACCTGACAGTAGTGTCAATTTTTACTCTCCTCCAGCTAATTTGCTTTCTAAGATTAAGAAATGGGATTACTCAGTAATTTTTTTCCCTTTTTTGCCATGCTGGGGATTGAACCTAGGTCCTATGCATGATAGACAGGTGCTTTACCATTGAATTATATCCCCATACTTAGTAAATTTTTTTTTTTTAAACCAGGGATTGAACTCAGGGGTGCTTAATCACTGAGCCATAAACCCAGCCCCTTTTTGTTTAATTTTTATTTTGAGACAGGGTCTCATTAAGTTGCTTAGGGCCTTGCTAAGTTGTTGAGGCTGGCTTTGAACTTGCAATCAATCCTCTTGCCTCAGCTTCTATTTAGTAATATTATTATCACAGTCACAAGGTAAAACGTGGAGATAAAAGGGGAAAGTTGCCATTTTATGATAAAGACATCTTTATATATATTAACAAGTAGAGTTCTATTTAATTAAATTTTTGCTATTAAAATTTTACATTTCAGGAAAAAGGAAAGCTTAGGGAAGTACTGTGTTATAAAGAGCATGTGTTTTGGAGTTTGGATACTGACTGTCATTATCAGTTTTGTGACTTTTGGCAAATTAATATCTTTTATTTCCCTTATTTTATAAAGTAATGTTAATACTTCATATGATTGTTGCTTGAAGTGATATATGTAAAGCATCTAGCACTGTGCCTGGAGCATGGTAGGTACTCAATACATACCATCCTCTGTTTACTCCAAAGGTGTGATGTTATAACTGATTCTCATTCGTACTGGAGAGTCTCTCTCTGGAAAAGAGGAGACTCAGCCTATTAAGACTGCATCTGTAAGTATAACCGTTCCAGTACAAAGAATCGATCTTTTCGTGGTGTCCTAACTATAAAGAGAAAGTTTGGAAAAATGTATTTTTTGGTTCCATCCCCAGCACCACAAAAATAGTTTCTTTAGTTAAAATCATAGCTGCTTTTGTTGATTGCTTACTGTCTTCCATTACTATTCTAAGTGCTTTGTGCATATTAGCTCATTCATTCCTCATAACTACCATATTAGGTAGAGTCTATTATTATCCTTATTTTAATAGAATGCAGAAGCTGAGACCCAAAGAGGTTAACTATGCTCAAATTTATACAGCTATTAAATTGTGGAGCTCAGCTCCAAAGTCAAGCAGTCTGGCTCTAGGAGCTACATTCCTACCCATTTGCCTAAATGTTAAAACATTTTTTGCAAGTATTTCTACCAGATGCATTGTTTAATGATAAGAACATTTGAAGAATATTTTATACTTATTTTACTCTTTTAAAACACTCCCCCCTCTTAATGGTTGTTACTGCTAAAATGATTGAAACAATTATTTAGGAATTCCAAATATATTTTGATATTTTCAATAAACTGAAATTACTTTCAATAAGAAATGTTTAATTAGAAAGGTAACAAAATGTTTAGGTGCTAAAGAATCACTTATAAAAGTAGACATGACCCTTTTAAAGTTTATGAAAAAGTTTATTATATAATCATGATATTTAAAAAAAATAGCACCTGATTGGACTAAATACAATTTTTTTAGACACATGAAGGAAGCTCTTCTTTGGACTTCTTTCCAGATCAAAAGAGGGCAGAACCTTGAATGGTGTAGAGATTTATTTTGGTTAATGGCTTGTCTGTGTTTAAATTTATTCCAGCTGTTCTACAGTGCTGCTCTCCTTCTACCCACATGGACGCTCTAAGTAGTTGTGTCACTCCCACTGCCTCTTCCTACGCACACTGCAACTACTTCCAGGTAAGATTCATGGACACGATGTGTTTCATGTGCAATATTATTGACCTTGCAAAATTTCAAAGTGTAATTTTATATTAATGAGGTAACCATAGGTAAGCTTGGGTTATGGACTCAGTTTTCTCAGTTCTCAATAATTTCTTTTCGGTACCAGGGATTGAACTCAGGGGCACTTGACCACTGAACCATATCCCCAGCCCTAGTTTGTATTTTATTTAGAGACAGGGTGTTACCGAGTTGCTAAGTGTCTCACTGTTGCTGAGGCTGACTTTGAACTCAATATCCTCCTGCCTTAGCCTCCTGAGCCACTGGGATTACAGACATGCGCCACTGCACTGGCTTCTCAGTTCAAAATAAAAGAGGATTGATAGGAATGATGTTTTGAGTATTCTTCTAGGGTAGCACTGTCGAATATGGTAGCCACTAGCCACATGTAGCCTTTTACATTTAAATTATTTGAAATGGGGTGAAATTTTAAAGTTCATGTATTCATCACCCTAGCCACATTTCAAGTACAACAGTCTCATATGAGTAGTGGCTCCCAAATTGTTCAGCACCAAAATAGAACATTCCCATTATTGCTGAAAGGTATTTTATATAGTGCTATTGTAGACTTTTTATGAATACCAGATATGTCACCAAATGACAGATTCTTCCAAGATGGTAAGACTTTTTTTTTTTAAGAAAAAAGGAAAAATGATGTCAAAAAATAAGAAATTCAAGAGATAGCCCCTAGCCTTATCCTGAATGTTATATACACTGTTCTTCAAATATCTTATTATTATTTCTTAGGAAAGAATTGCTTTGACTAAAATGTTTTATATTGCTATTTATAGGATAAGATTTCTTTCTTTTAATCTACATAACAAGTAAGTAGATAATCAGATTATTGTTAGAAGAGTATAGAATCAGATCAAGGGGACAAAGCAACTTAGTTGGCTGTTTTTCATGGCCAGTATCATCAAGCATTATCAGTGCTCAGTTTGTTCTTCTCTGGAGGGACATACCTGTCCCACCATGCTCTTGTTTGTAGATCCAGACACAGTCATGGATCACATTGGAGATAATCTGACAGTATTTATATCTTGATTATTTTCATGTTTTATTGATTGATTGATTGATTGGTATCAGGGCACTTAATCACTGAGCCATATTCCCCACTCTTTTTAAATATTTTATTAGAGACAGGGTCTTACTAAGTTGCTTAGGCCTTGCTAAGTTGCTGAGGCTGGGTTTGAACTCATGATCCTCTTGCCTCATGTTTTAAATTAAACATTTTATGAAGATTTTTTTCTTACTACAACAGTAGTACATGTTTATTTTAGGAAAAAAGAAATAAGGGGACATAAAATTTAAAACGTGAAAAAGGAAAAGCATTTCAGAGTACATCCTGAAAATCAGTGCAGTTAGACTGTAGGTACTGGTGAGAATGTGTATCAAAGGTCAGTATATTGTCATAGTTGAGAGCAAAAGATCTAGAGTCAGGCAAACCTTGAAACCTGGCTCTGTCAGTTATTTCATTGCTACTTTGATTAAATTAAGATATTTCTCTGAACCTTAGTTTTATCATTTAGAAATGGAGAATATCACCTGTCATGGGGTTCTTATGGGCATTAAATGAAATAATTATTATATAAAGTATTTTTTATGTTCCTGTCACATAGTAAAGACTCATGGTACTATGGTAATGGCTTGATACTTATACTCTTTGAATTTACATAATTTGTTGGGCATTAACCTCCTAAAACTCATTGATATCATCATTGTAGTACATTTGACAACATCAATTCTTTGTATCTGTTCATAGCTCTTCTGTATTTTATGTTTATAACTGAGATAATTAGCAAACATATTGAAAGCCTACTTTGTGCAAAACACAAAATAATTTAGACATTTGTATGAAGATCTTTATATCTTCATACATTATTTAGATAAGTATGAATAGATACATATGTATGTTTATAGATATGTCTTAAAGATATAAAACTAAATGCACAGCTATTCTGGTTTGTTGTTTCATTATCGAAAGTAATCTCAGGAACCAAAGGACATTGATATTCTATCCATTTTTTCCCCCGATCATTTGGAACAGAATTCAGTACCTTCCCCTGATTCTGTAGAAGGATTGGTGGATTTATGAGCATCTTGTGTTTGCAATTTACTTGCTGTATTCCTAAGATAGTATAATATAAATAAAATAATGTTTTGACTATAAACCTTTATGGAAGAATTTGGTTATATAGACATTCGATCGGCAAATGGGTATTTAGATATTATAGCTTTTTGCTTTTGTGAACTTGAACCCTGAGAATTAGTGCTTTACTCCAGTATTAAACTTAGTATAATGGCTGACATATGGTAGATACTAAATAAATATTAACAATACATTTGAAGCTGCCATTGCTGAAAAGATTAGCATTCAGATTTTCTTAGTGATCTTTAAGCTTATAAGTCATATGTGCTAAGCATTGGTGAGCCTAAATGTTGTTTCTTTCCTCCTTAATCTCATATTTGATTTTCTATCCAAACAGTCCTATTTTCTCTTTTCCCAGAATCCTCCAATGCAATCCTCCTATCCAGCTGAATTTTTGCCTTCTAATTGGCCTTGCAGTGCTACTGATGAAAATAAAAAGACGGAAGTAAACCTAGAGGCTGTCTTTCAGATAGTAGATGAGTTGCATTCCTCCCCTAAATTGGAGATGGTGAAGGTGGAACCTGTTGAGAATCAGTGCCCAACATCTCAGTCTAACAGAGGCCAACATATCCTAGCTAATTCAAGCAACAGCAATCCATCATCCACAAGTCAGGCTAGCCAGCTGGAGCCACTTACTCCTGTAGGCTCAGATATTACATCTTTTGTGGTTGGAACAGAACAAGCAATTACCTGCTCTCTACCACAGTCACCTGAGTACATCTATACCATCCACACAGCTCAACCTGTGGAAAATAGCACAATGCAGGAATCTGCAGCCATACAACAAGCTCACGTCAAACTGAAGGAGCAGGTAAGTCATAATCCATCTCCGTCTTCAGTAGTATTTGTGCAGGAAGGGCTACCATTCAACACACACCAGGTAAGAGGGCAAACAAAAGAATTATAATAAAGTTCAAAGTACACAATGCTTCTTGTTAAAGAATCTTCTAGTGGAATTTTTCTAGGTTTTATTTGGGTTTAATACCAGTTCATTTCACTTTCCAAAAGGATCACGTCCCTGTGGTTCTGCACGAAAGATTCATAAAGGAGTTACCTTAACCCCTAGACATCATCTTACTATTGTTATAGTTTGAAGTGGCAGACTGGGCATTAAAACTTGTTTTCATATTAAAATCATCCTTTGAGTTTTGCTTCCTATTTTAATTTGGATGGACTAGATATGCCTGACTAATATGGAGTGGTTTATTTGCCAGATGATATAAGGATTTTCCAAGTTATTTGTAGATGGAGGTAAGGATATAGTTGGAGGTCTTTTCTTACCATTTTTTTTTTTGACAACATCACTGCATTTGAATAATGAGTATATTGTGTTCAAACTTCTTACTACTGCTTGCATTACTAAAGCAGAATTCTGACTGTAGTTTGAGGGACACATTCTGAAGGTAGAGATTAATTCCTTTATTACTGTTAGTATATGATGATAAAATACTTTGATTCTAAATAATTAGTAAGAATAACTCATCAAAAGTATATCCAAAGTAACATTATCTTGTGAGTTAACATTTTTTTTTCTGACTTTAATTTTTTTATGGATCTTAGCCTGATAAACGTTTTTCATTTTGGATTTTTTCTTTTTTTCTTCTTTGTGTGTGCGGTGTGTGTGTGCTACTGGGGATTGAAGTATGAAGTATCAGGAATTTGAACTTGCTAGGCAAAAGCCCTATTACTAAACCCCCAGCACTTTTTTTTTTTTTTTTTTTTGAGACAGGGTCTTGCTATGTTGCCCAACCCGGCCTAAAACTTGAGCCTCCTGAGTAACTGGGATTACAGACGTGTGTCACCAATGCTTGCTGATTTTTTTTTCTTTTAATAGGACTGAAAATCTTTTTATTGTTAGATACTCCCAAGATAACTTTTGGTGTGTTTTGTTTGTAGCCTTTTTTTTTTTTTTTAGTTCTAATTTTAGATCCAGATGTCTTAAGATTCCTATCAATTCTTTCCTTTTTGAGCCTAACTATTGACATCTATTACATTAAGATAATGATGTTAATTCAGTAGGAAAAAAATGATGTTTTGAATATGTCTGTAGAAAGAATACAAAATTTGTCTTTTTTTCTTCATAGTCACATTTAGATATTGGATTTTGTATCTTAAAATTGCATGTCCACAGTTACTTTTTCTTTCATTAGTATACTTGAACACCACAGCTCATGAAAGTTGTTTTTAACTTTTAACGTTGTTTCATTATATAGTTAATTTTAAATAAATATAAAGAAATTGAATATTTTAGAAATTGGTCACCTTGACAAAATGATTTAACAATCCAAAGATGATCATTTGTGAAACAAATGAATTTAAATTTTATAGGGACTAAAGCTTATACAATTTTGACAACCTTTTAAAGACAAATAATACAAAATTAATAAAATAAAGTATTCAGGTTTTATTGACAGAATTCAACAGGATTATGACTATGATCATCTCAGCATCGCCAACTAGTAGGGGAAATCTGATGGAACATATGCTAGAGTAGAAAAAGATGGTGGTCTTAGCCAGTCAGGGTTTAAAATATCTTACTCTCTTATAAGTTAAAAATCATCAAGTCTCATGGTAAATCTTTGATCATAATAAGTGAATATTGTAGTTCCACATACATTTCAATGGTTTGAGTATGGGGAAATAAACATCTTACTATTAAATAATTAGATAGCAAGCTAATTAAAGGTACTGTTCATAAGAATGAAAAGCTTTATAAGCATGTTTGTTGCATCATGGTTGTGTTAGGGAGGATTCTGGGTGTTTCAACACTCTACCACTGAACTACATCTCCAAGCTTTTGTTTATTATTATTATATATATTTTTTGATACCAAGGATTAAACCCATAGGTGCTTAACCATTGAGCCACATCCTCAGCCCTTCTTATTTTTTAATTTTGAGACAGGGTCTTGCTAAATTGCTTAGGGCCTTGCTAAGTTGCTGAGGCTGGCTTGATCTTACGATCCTCCTGCCTCAGACTCCCAAGGAGCTGGGTTTATAGGAGTGCACTATTGTGCCTGGCTGGATCATATTTCTGTATCACAACACTCTGATAGATTAATTAACTTTTAGTACATATTTTGGGGAAATCTCAGAATAATAAATGAATTTAATATTTTAGGTGGATGCCAGTATAAAATGCCGGACCAGTCCACCTGAGAATATCTTGCCTTCAGAACAGATGGGATTCCTCGTTTCAGAAATGGGGCCAGCTAGCAAATCTAGTAAAGACACAGGTATATCCACTCCAGCCAGATACAGAGAGCGAAGAAGCAACTCACAACAAGGAAAGTCCCTTGGTAAGGATTATGTAATTTTAAGCTTTAGAATCTATAGCTCTAGAATGCTAGAAATAGAACCACAGTATAAAATTAATATTTAAATGACAGTTTTTTATGTCTTCACTTATTATTCATGATTGTATTATATCTATCACATTGCTTTTTACATAACTGTAAAAATTATCCTTGTAAAATATGTAATATTTTCCTAATATTGCATATAAGAATTTAAGCTTTCAAAAATGCTGAAAATATTTAAGATAAATCAAAGAAATTAGGTTAACTTGAAGAGGGTAAAATGAAGGATGACTTAATAACTGTCCTCAGATGCCAAAGACTTATAATTGTAGATGTACTTATTCACTTATTAAAAGACTGTAGGACACAAGGTTATACACTTAAATAGTGATGGGAGGAAATTAGATGGATATAAAAGATAGATCCTGAGTACATAAAAATGCTATAAAGTGTAACTCTATATCAGTAGGATTGTTTTTCTCTTTATTTATTTTTAAAATGTTTTTAAAATATTTTTTAGTTGTAGTTGGACACAAATAATACTTTTATTTTATTTATTTATTTTTATGTGGTGTTGAAGATTGAACCCAGGGCCTTGCACATGCTAGGCAAGCATTCTGCTGAACCACAACCCCAGACCTTTCTTTTGATTTATAAGAATCTAGAGGGGATGGGGTTGTAGCTCAGTTGTTGAGCTCTTACCTTGCATGTATGAGGCCCTGGGTTCGATCCTCAGCACCATGTAGAAAGGAAGGAAGGAAGGAAGGAAGAAAGGAAGAAAGAAAGATATTGTGTCCATCTACAACTAAATATAATATTTAAAAAAAAAAGAATAGGTGATTGTTTGGGGCACACACTGTTGGTTCTACTTTTTTTTTTTCTTTCTTTCTTTTTTTTTTTTTTTAATATCAAGAAACTATCACCTCTGGCTTTCCTGTCCAAGGAGTCTCTAATTTGTTCATTCTTCTTTTTTTTTTTTAAAGAGAAAGAGAGAATTTTTTTAATATTTATTTTTTAGTTTTCGGCGGACACAACATCTTTGTTTGTATGTGGTGCTGAGGATTGAACCCAGGCTGCATGCATGCCAGGCACATGCCAGGCGAGCATGCTACTGCTTGAGCCACATTCCCAGCCTCTTGTTCATTATTCTTAAAGGTAGTCTCATCTGCAGTGGTCCTCATGGAGTATGTGTTCTTTTGTTGGAATGATCCAGTTTTTGTTACCTATTTTCTACAAGGATAAATCTAAAGTGTCTGAGGATTAACTTTAGGGGCCGAACAATTACACTTCTTAGCATACCAGACATGTTAATTCTCAGGGATTTTAATTAACAATAATAATAACAACATGCATTTGCATAAAAAGCAACAACAACAACTTGGAGCCAAGTGTTGTGGTATATACCTGTAATCCCAGCTATAAAAAAGCTGAGGGAGGAGGATCACAAATTCAAAACCAGCCTGGTCAACTTAGTGGATCCTGTCTCAAAAAATAAAAGGACTAGGGATATTTGCTCAGTGGTAGAACAGGCCTGAGTTTAATCCCTAGTAGCACAAAAAACAAAAAAACAAATCAAAAGTTGGTAGATGACTGCTTTGTTGGCCTTGCTTGGGTCATTCCAGTTGAAAGCCAGGGATCTCATTTTAGGTAGTGTTAAGCATGACAAGTCTGATATTTGATTTGCAGTCTATGCTTTTCCCATTCCCTAATGGTACCTATGATGATATCATCTGAGAGTAGGTTGAATCTTTGCAGTAGAGCTCTCTCCCATTGTCTGTGAGATTCCCCCTCCATACCCACCCCCACCACTCCCACCCCACCCCCGCCCCGTACTAGGGATTGAACTCAGGGGCACTCAACCACTGAGCCACATCCTCAGCCCTGTTTTGTATTTTATTTAAAGACAGGGTCTCAGGGAGTAGCATAGTGTCTCGCCATTTCTGAGGCTGGCTTTGAACTCACAATCCTCCTGTCTCAGCCTCCCAAGCCACCGGGGTTACAGGCATGCTCCACTGTGCCCGGCTGGAAATTTTTCTTTTCTTTCTTTTTTATTTTGGCAGTGCTAGAATTTGAACCCAGGATCTCATGGATACTAGCAAGCACTTTACCACTGAGCTATGCCCCCTGCCTTTTTTTTTTTTTTTAAAGAGAGAGAGAGAGACAGAGAGGGAGAATTTTTTTAATATTTATTTTTTAGTTTTCGGTGGACACAACATCTTTATTTTATTTTTTTATGTGGTGCTGAGGATCGAGCCCAGCGCCCCGCGCATGCCAGGCGAGCACACTACTGGTTGAGCCACATCCCCAGCCTCCCCCCCTGCCTTTTTTATTTTGAGCTTGGGCCTCACTGAATTGCCCAGTCTGGACTTGAACTTGGAATCCTCCTGCCTCTGCTTTCTAAATAGTTGAGGCTATAGTTATGCACACCACTCCTAATTTTCAGAGGTTCTTACAACAGGTGCTTGAGAAAAGGTTGAGGCTCCCTTGGGTTTCTGAAGCAGTTGGATATATGACCTAAACTAATGAGCTGTAGTGAATAGATTGTCAACTACAGGAAGAGAAATATTCCCATCCATCTTTGCTTGCACACTGGGAACCTCTAGACTGAGCTCATCTCTTCTTTTAGGACTTTGCTGAATGTGTCAAGAAATAGTCAACACAGTGTGAATTTTGTTAGCCTTTTCCCTATGGTTGTATGAGCACTTGTTCTGCCTTCCAGGGTATCACAGGTAATGAGTTTATCAAATGTTTTGACACAAATAACAAAGATCACCAACATTCCAGCCTGCTATATCTTAATCACCTACTGTGTGACTAGTAAGCCCATGCCCCTTTTTTTTTTTTTTTGATACTTGAATTGAACCACTGAAATATACTCCAGTGCCCAGAACCACATTTTTAAATTTGAATTATAGCAGCACCTCACATCTAGATTCCAAATTGCCTATTAGGATATAAATTAGAACATCATAATTATATAAATAATACATTAGAATAGAAATTGTAACAAATAAAACAAAAGGGACTAGAGATGAAGCTCAGTGGTAGAGCATTTGCCTAGCAAGCATGAGGCCTTAGGTTCAATCACTAGCACCATAAAAGACAACAATGGCTTAAAAAAGAATAGAACTTTTTTTTTCCTTATGATAAAGCCTATCTTTATCTGTCTATCTTTAACTGTCCAGAGTGGCAGCTTCCCTTCTTTCTGCTAGTCTTCAGGTATTGCATGGTTAAAGATGGCTTACCACTCTAGATAGCAGGTGCTATAAATATCCTTTCCTCATATGCACTAAGTTATCACATATGTTCACATCTTTTTGAACAGAACTTAAAGTCACAGAAGACCAAGTTCTAGCTATAGGGAAGCTTAGAAATACAGTCTTTGGCTGGGGGCCATTTGCCTATTTAAAAGAATACCATAGGACTAGAGATGTAGCTCAGTAGTGGAGTGCTTGCTTAGCATGCACAAGGGTCTGTGTTCAATCTTCAGCACCACAAAAATAATAACTATTAAAATAACACCATGATGTTAAGAATGAGAATCAGTGTTAGGAGATGACTAGCATGGCCTTAAGGAAAATACTTATCACATAAATGTATGTATCAATATTACAGACGAACCTCTTACAAATCAGTAAGAAAAATGCAAACCAATAAAAATAAATAAAATTTAGCTGGGGGGCTGTGGTTGTAGATCAGTGGCAGAGCACTCGCCTAGCACAGTGAGGCATTGGGTTTGATCCTCAGCACCACCTAAAAATAAACAAATTAGGGGCTGGGGCTGGGGTTGGGGCTAAGGCTCAGCTGTAGCGCACTTGCCTACGTGTGAGGCACTGGGTTCGATTGTCAGCACCACATATAAATAAATAAAATAAAGGTCTACCAACAACTAAAAAAAATTTTAAAAAATAAACAAAGGCATTCTATTCATCTACAACTGCAAAAAAAATTTTAAATTAGGGGATAGGGTTGTGGCTCAGTGGTAGAGCACTTGCCTGACATGAGTGACATATGGATTCTGTCCTCAGCACTACATAAAATAATAAAGATATTGTATCCATCTACAACTAAAAACAAATTATATTAGTATGCAGTTTAGAAGAAATAAAAATGACTAATGAATATATAAAAAGATATTCAACCTTTGTTTACCAGAGAAATACAAATTAAACCAGCTACTTTTCTTCAATCTAATTGGCAAAACTTTAGCTGTTCCTAATATTGGACTTGGTAAAGTTATAAGGAAGCTGGGTGCGCTGGTGCATACCTGTAATCCTAGCTATTTGGGAGGCTGAGACAGGAAGATTTGAAAGTCCAAGGCTAGCCTGGGCAATTTAATGAATGAAACCCTTTACCAAAATAAAAAAGAAATGGACTGGGGATGTAGCTCAGTGGTAGAGTGCCCCTGTGTTCAATCCCCAGTAGCACCCAAAAAATGGTGTAGGAAAAAAGGAACCCCCCTATATGCTGCAACTGGAATGTAAAAGTCTATTGCCTTTTGAAGGGAGGGCAGTTTTTCATTATCTATAAATAATTAAATTACTCATGTGTTTTAACACAAGAATTCTACTACAAATCTCTCCTACTGAAATATGTGTATTCCAAAGATACCATAAAAAAGTTCACTATGGTATTATTTTAATAGCAAAAACCTAGAAAAAGCATAAATACCTGACAATTTGGAACTAGATAAATTATAATAAATTCATATAATTAAATGCTGTGCAACCATTTAAGAAAATAGTGTGACAAGTTGTGACCTGGAAATATTTAGTGAACATTATGTGTCCATAATGTATTAATGTACAAACAGGTTGCAGCACCATATGCCTAGCACAGTTCCCTTTCTAGAAAGAAAAACGGAAAGCTAAGTGTCTGCTGTATAATTATAGAAAAAAAATCTGAAAATATATGATAAAACTGAAATATGTAATAATGGTGACCTTTGAGAAGATAGAAATGAAGGGTACAGGGATATTTTAACTTAATTTGTGTATGTA